CACGACGCTACAAGTAATTCTTAGGTGAAAAAACTCTCAGGTATAGCTGAAGTAGTAGCTGTATTGTACCTTAATCAGTTTGAAATTGAGTTGTAAGAAGGGAACAAGTGGACAACAGAGAATGCTTTTCAAGCTGTGGACATTCAACAGCCTAACTTTTTTTTTTTTTTTTTTTAATTTCAAAAGGTAATTTTATTAGACCGTTGTCATCATCGTCCCCCATGCCTCAAGAGATGAATTAGTTTCCTACTACCACAGATAAAAGATGCAAGAAGTGTAACAGCATATCTCAATACTTACAGAGGTTAAAGCCTCTACATTGGCACCAGTAAGACACAGGAACCGGACAACATCAAGAATGCCATTGTTTGCTGCCAGGTGTAAAGGTGTTCTTCCATACTAACATGGGGCAAAAAAGTGTCGTCATGTTAGTTAAAGAACTTCACTCCAAATTTTATGACTAATAATCAAACATATTGTACAATTATACATACTGATACAAAGCAAAAGTCTTGCAAAAACTGCAAGCAAAAGTACAAAGCAAGAACTGTAAGAAAAAAAGCTTAAGGACAACTGCTTAAAGCTCAATTCAAAAGAAAGGCTAGATTGACTACTTAAAAAACGGGAAACAATTTTCTAGCTAAATCCCCCACAACTGTGGAGGAATGCTTTAGAGTTTTTTGGCTATATTTAAAAATTCCTTTCTAATTCCCAGTAAATTGAATTGCATTTTGCTTAATTAAATATGAACCAGTTAAGCAACACTACGTCCTTAACCTTTAAGGCTCTGGATTCTATTTCAATCTAAGTATTACTGAAGATTACACATCTGTAGTCTTCCCCCTTCCACCCAAAGCAATGGAAGGGATGAGTGCAAGAAGTCAGCCTGAAGGAATTTGTGCTTTCACTGACAGAGGGAAAGTGCTGTAAGTATTCCTTCCCCAAGTTTTGCTTTTCCCCTTGAATCTCTCCACTGACAACAGGTCCTCATGACATCCACTTCTGGTCTTTCACGTTCAGAGTTACTGTTGTAAGTATCACTACCATTATCTGCTTGTAACTCCTCTTACTGATTACTTCACACATTTTCATGCTTTCAATACTCTTCTCCCTGTTTCAACCCTACATTCAGAACCAAACTCACAAACTTACTTCACAAAAGGGCATTTGAAAGCAAAGCTAACTTTCTGACAACTGGAAACTGAAAAGGTGCCCAGCTCCTCAGAACCCTACACCTCAACTCATATAAATGCATTATGATGTTCTACTGCACACAGTCTGTGGAAGAAACAAATGGTGCCTTCAATCGGTATTACGTATGTGAGGGCCAAGGATAGACAGTCATTATGTTAATACACTCCCACTACAGGGCTCGCTGCTGAAGAGGACCAGTAGAAATAAAGATTCTCTATTTGGTAAGACCCAAACTCACCCTTTCAAACAAAAAGCACTCTAAAAATCACTCTAGTATACATGACTCCTAAAAGGGTAACAGAATGCAAACTTTAACCACAGCTTCTGTAGCCATGATGCCACCCCCATTGAACACTTGAAGATTATTTTTTCCACAGCATGCTTGTGGCCAGGTCACCAATCCTAGCTCAGCATTCTCCATTATGAAAAGAGGTGCTAATCCAGCCTTCTGCTGCATTAACTCACCTTCACAAAATGTGTTCTTAGCTGTGGATCTGGATTTAATTGCCTAGTCAATCAGGTTTAAGCTCAGAGGCAGGACTGGGGACTTACTGTAAGTTTTTTCACTTGGCAGCTGATGATTTTAATTATTAAAACCAAAAGTGATTGCACTGGACAACTCTCAAGCCAAAAGCCCCACCACTTTCTTCAGCCGACTAATACAGAGGAGGTCAGCGCTTTGGTAATAAATGGAAGTGTTAACCGGCAAAATGCCATTGCCAGAATACATACTTTTCCAGAAAAACAAAGAAGCTGCAACACCTGAATCAAACAAATCGCAGATAGCAATGTAAAGGCTCCTATGAATAAACAGGACAGAGAAAGACATTCAGAGCTAAGTATCAAGCCCTAAGCCCCACAGCCTGTCAGCAGAGTCCAATGGCTGACCTTAACGTATTCAAACTAACCACTGAAACAGCTTACTTTTCTCTTAAATATCTCTTGGAGGAAAGCCAGGATGTTAAACCTGTGAAGCATCACATTCAGTTATCCCAAACACTGCAGCACTACCACAACAGCAGCAGCAAACAAGGCACTAGTATCTCAAAGTTTAGGCACAGGCTATTTATTAAATGCTCTTTTTGGAAAGTACTTTTTAATTCTGAACTACATTTTAATTCTGAGATTTCCTGTATCCTGGCAATGATGATTTGTTTAATAGATAAATTAAAGCTATTCTATTCTAAGATAAATGTCTGATTAGGATTTATTTTAATAAAGGTACTCAGTGCAGAAAAACATAAAACAGCCAACATGACATTTTTATAACTGGGAATAGAATCTGCAGTTGATTTAAATTCCTTGTTAGATGACACTGCAGATCTTTTCGTGCAATTTGGAAGAATTCAAAGCAGATTTTTCATAAAAATGTACCAGTCTTCAATTCTGTATATAAATTACAGTTATTAAATCACATCAAATCAACACCTGCTTAGGCCAGCAGCAATGCATTTCATCTGTTCTTCAGCGCCTAGATGTGCTCTGCACAAAGGAAAGCTATAGAGCTAGGGAAGCAGGTTGGCACATACTTCAACATTAGAGTTGAGTGGCAAAATACACTGTGATAGCTCTTTCTTCATGGATCTTTAATTATCTATTCAACTGAAAGAAGCTTAAGTAAATTTGCAAGGTGACTTATTTAATGAATGCTTTGCATTTGGCCACTTTAAGAGATAAAAAAATAAAAGGAAAAACATTTTCCATATCAGAGAACTGGAAAAGGTCATCTAATGCAATAAGTGAGCTATTAAACAAAGTAGTTCAGTACCTGTATTCCATTTACCTTATTAGTGACATCCAAATTACAACTTGCTTCACAGAGTGCCATCACAATAGGAACATTCCCATCTTTGCATGCCACATGTAAGGGAGTATTGCCATGTCTGTCTTGGAAATCCACAAAACATCCTTGACTGATGAGAGTTTTAACCACTTCTATTTGACATCTTCTCACAGCAAGGTGTAGGGCTATGTGACCATCCTGAAATCACAACACAGCTTGTAAGTGAGATTTAGTAATGCTAAAATCAAAACATTTTGCAGCATCACAATAATTTCAGGTAACTGAGTGCATCTCCTTGCCTCAAGAATCACAATGCTTTTTCTTTTGAAGGTGGAGGTAGAGAGATGCACAGTATCTGTCAGAACAAATCAGCTATGAGATGGAAGCAGATTTCTGTTAAGCCACTGGGCTTTGCAGTGGGATGGATGAAGTGCAAATACACATTCTCTGCTGACAGCTTCCGTAGGAGGTGGGAGAGTGATCAACTGTAACAACCAGCTGAATATTGTAAACCACTCTAGTGTTTACTGACAGAAGATAGTGATGCAAAAGTCATGCAATCTGTTTAGTGATCAGTAACTTCAGAGACTGAGTATTTTGGATTTGTGGAACAACTTAAAGGGACAATGTGACTGGAAAAAACAATTTAAGTCTTTTAGAATCAAAAGCATTTTTCTGAACTTGCTTCAATAACTATTTAGTAATCATCAGCAATAAAGGTAGCTAAATGGACAACCATACCAAAAGTATCAACAACGAAATGCAAAATTTACTTGTGATTACACCATGAAAGACAAAAAATTACTCTGAATCAAACAGAATTATATTTTTAAATAGTTGGAATTTAGCTTATCGGAAATAGGTGTGATTTATCCAGCCCACAGGAATCAAAGGCAAACAGTAAATCCATCTTTTTTCTCTTAAGTTAATAGTTTGTTGCCAATTACAAAACCCAACGTTCCTGCCATTTTTCACAGTGTTATTCATAAGGTGATAATTGATAAGGTGATAATGAAACAGCAAAAAACCCATTGTGGAAAAATAATCAGTGGGCAACTTCAAAGACTACTGTAGTCATCAACAGTCTCTCTGTGAACTGCTCAGAAAACCCACGTCATGGAAACAATGCTGGCTTGCAGCATTCAAATGAAGCAATTCAGAAATATGGCTCTGTGACACCTGTGATACTTTGAACCAGGTGATTCCTGACCAAAAGCAACTCCAACTAACCTTGTCTGTTGCATCAAGGTCAGCTCCATGTTCTGCCAAGCATTCCACAATATCATGGTAACCCCGAGCAGATGCTGTCAGGAGCGGAGTCTCCCCTTCTTTGTTTCTAACGTTCACATTACAACCTGCTTCACAGAGTGCTTTGGCAACAGAGTAGTAGCCGTGCCAAGCAGCACAATGCAGTGGGGTTTCTTCTTCCTGTCAACATGGAACATAAAAAAGACCCACAACACAGCTGAACCAAATACTAGGAGGAACAATTCTCCAGCTTAATTTGGAAAGACAGGAAGATGACATGAAAGAAAAAAATTTACTAAGTAAGGTCTATAAAATGATGCTGTAATTTCTAATGCTGACATTCTCAAAGCAAGAATAACTCCTGCTGACATATGAAGTGATTATGGTAACACACTAGATTTTCATCATTACCTGGATTCTGAGAGTCCATATTTCTCATCACAAAACTATCTACTGACAACACCTTGCATGTCAGCAATCTTAGTTTAGATGTTTCCATGCTCCAGCTATCTTGGTTCTCTCACTTGAAAACTGATCGTCATTCATGAGCAACTTCTACATCTGTGTGCTGAGGGACTAATCCAGTGTTTAAAATAGATCAGTCACCAAGGAGATGCAAATCCCACTAGACTTGCAGTATGAAGCAGACCACTCTGCTTACCATGTTCAAAGAGCACATCCTAATGATTCAGGAGAGTAACCAGTGACTTGGGTACTTAGAAACCCAAGTCCTTTAAATGTGCATCACAACAAGCCTTTGAACCTGTAGGCATTTTGAGTTCAATTGTGACTGAAGTTCCAGTTTGCCTTTTGCTTCACCCCAGGAAGCTTCGAAGTATTCATCTTCAAAACAGTTATGTGGAACATTATTAAGAAATTCAAATGTTTTACAAAAACATGCTATTGAAAGCAACCTACTGAAAAGTAAGGACGATTAAAATCGATGAAAAAAGTCATTCTATCAAATTCTAAGAAATGGGATATCCTTCCTTTATCTGGCAAATATCAATGAGGAGACAATCGATGCTGGTAGTATTACAGGACTTGGACTGTATTCAAGGTTTCTGTAAAAATCTGAGGAAAAAGAAATGGTTGAACAGCATGTCCCTGTAGTTCCTTGGCCTGCTGCTGCTTAAACACTGTAAAGGTTGTCTTACTGGATGCAGAACTTGGGGAGGCTTGTGGAACTCCCCCACACCGTTAAATCTGGGTCAAATAGATGTTTTTTTCTGTTAAGCCTTTTCTTTCCTGTTTTCTTACAAGAGGTCAGAGCTCTAAAGAAGCCATTCTGAGCCTTCCTCTCATTTTCAGAAATAACTGCTTGACTTCAGAAAAGTCCCATGACAGCTAAAAATAAGCTCAAGTCAAGACAAAACCTAATAAAAAGGTTTAGCTGAACTCACAGAGCGCACATCACCACCCATACCTTCGGGAAGTTGAGTTTTTCCATCTTTAAGATTTCATTTTCCAGGGAACCTGTGTTTTACAACAGTAGCTGGTTCATGCATGCTGATTTTTGACTAGTCTTCATCTATTAAGAGGTACTGAAACCTCCACAATTCTATTAATTTTTTTCTAATGCAAACATGCCAGAGGCTGCAAGGCAAGACCAAACAGTTTTGACCACTCATACTAAAGCCTCATTTGTTTAAGAAAAACAGACAGTATCTATGACTCACCTTGTCTTGAAAGTCTGGATTGGATCCAATGCTACAGAGAAATTGAACCACATCCACATGCCCGTAACGAGCTGCAACGTGGAAAGCGGTCTCCCCAGACTGCAATTACAGAAGAACATGCCAGTGTAATTTCATATGTCACCCCTAGATATGCACCGCCGTGTACAGCCTGAATGCCTGTATGCTGCATGGGGTACTCCTCTGTCCCTGTTATCCAGCAGCACAGCTGCGGTCAGCAGAGTTGTCCAGCTTGCAAACTGTAGTTGTATGTGACAGATACACCACCACCTGACAGGTTATTTCTTCAAAGGCCTTCCTTTTTCATAACTTTCTTTTCCTACTTGATTTTTTCAAGGTCACAGCCACAATGGGATTTCTGAGCAATATGTGGAAGCGTCTGTGTGTGCAACTGGTGTTGAAACAAATGTCCTATTTCTATTCACACTATTTCCATATGGCCCTCCTCTGCCCTATATATACAAATGTAAGGAGTCTGCCTAACACTTTGGTATATCCTGGTGTATTTTGGTGATTACATGTAATTATTTGCAAACTCTTGTTGAAATTACATGAAAAATAAATCGTATTTTTATTAAGAAAGTAACCTACTTCCTAGTAGCCCTATCAGGAGTTGAACAATAATCCTGTTTATGTGCCTTGCCTTGCACTAGTTCCCTCTACAAAGCGAACTGTGTTTCACAAATATAATTTCCTCTGTACTGGAGCTTTGCTAGTATAAAAACATCACTATGGTGTAAGATTTTAACAGCAAGCAGTTGCTAGGGCAAATGTTGCTCAAGTAACACTGCTGGAGACAAGGTAAGTGCTCATCAGCTAAAAACTGTTAGGCTTGATTATACTCAGTAACAGTCCAATTTAGTTGTCAGACAAAAGTGATTTTCAATCAAGAGGAGTGAAAAACAGAATCATGATTTTATCCTGAGTTCCAATGAGAAATCCAGTCTTCAAGCGAAAATTTAGGTTTGTACTTACCCACCTACCTACCATGTACTCACCACACTTAATATGCACGCTTGGTTAACATTTGTCAGGAAAATAATCAGTACATCCAGCTACTTTTAAAGCTATGTTATAAAACCACACTAAAAAAGCTAGTCACATTCTTGGAGTTACGGCACAGCTGAAAATCAATCATTCCAACTGAAAGACCTTTCTTTACTAAGATAACATTATAAAAAAAGGCTCTTTACATGAAAAATGAAAAGAAGTTTTTTCTTACCTTATCCTTAACATCCAAAGGACATTTATTATCATTGAGAAATTTCAGTGTTTCTACATGACCATGTCGAGAAGCCCAATAGATTGCATTAGATCCAGACTGTCAAAAATATACATTACAGATGTTATTGATCAATTTAGAATGCAAATTCTAGATTTCCAAATGAGCTATACATGCACTTAGATGTACACAGATGTATTGAACAGCTATTCAAGCTTATATGAACATATTTACTTTTTAAAAAAAAACTTCAAATTTGTTCAACAACCCCACATACCAACAATGACAACAAAGACTCCTTTTTGCAAGGATGATTAACAGGATCACTAACTAGGATAATCCTCTTCCCCCTTCTAAGGGAGGTTTTTTTGGAAAGAACAGTCATGAGAGAAAAACCTTTCTGCTACTTACTTTACCATCTAATAGACAGAGCAGCAGACAGTGCTTCAAGTTTGCTTTAAATGAACCCCAGATCATTATAATACAACTTGAAAAAAAGCTTGTTGTAAAGCATATTCTCCGTGACATAAGAGTTTAAGTTGCAATATTCCCCATTGCTAAAATGTGCATTTATCATGCTGTATTAAATGAAGTTCACCACTGTGTTTTAGGGCAATCACCAATTTGAACTAATTGAGGCAATTTTGTAAGCATGAACTACATTTTAAGATTAGTATCATTCAAATTACTTCAGCTAATAAAGTGATCAAAATCAGAGGATACACACTAGTAATAAATGGAATTATTAAAGATTTGCTTTTATCCTTTTGCTCTGGAAGACAGAAAACAGGCTCTACAGTCCAGATTTTTTCATTTCCAATACAATCTGCTCTGAACTGCTTGTCCTCTGGTAACTGTGTTGAAAAAGTCATACAAAACGGTAACAAAACAGAACCCTGACCTTATCTTGAACATCAATACGGGATCCACGCTTTAAAAGCAACTGAAGCATCTGAATGTTTCCACAGCCAGCAGCAATCAGTAGCGGAGGTGTTCCATGCTAACAATGAAATACAAGCAAGAACCATGTATTTAACTTTTGAAGGATTAAGCAAAGAGAGTGGAATAGAAGGCAGGCATTGAATGGCATCTCTGGACTTCCAGTTTCCAATTAAGTCCTCAGAAAATACTGTATAGAAAATAATTTGTCCCTTTGTCCAACAAAATTTATTGCACAGCAATTGTCCGTATTTTTGGAATGAATCCACATTTACTAAATGACACACCACACATTACAGGCATGCTTTTCAAATTAGGAAAATTAATGTTAAGCTCTCATTAGCCCAATTTGGCAAGGATGTTCGCCTTTGCTACTTCTTTGTATCTACATTTTAAACCAGATTACCTAAGGTGTTTGCCACACCACTTCAAAGACACAAGCCACCAGCAACATATGGGAAAGTTAAATGGGACTGCACTGTTAAAACAAAAAATACAGTGATTTCTTGAAAGGTTTAAGACCCTGCCACAGTAAAATAACAGGTGCTTTACTTTTATAGTGCTCTTCATGAATATTTCTCAAAGTACTTTATAATGAAGGTCAGTATAACCATTCAAAAAGTGAAAATTAGAGCAGAGATGATTTATCCAAGGTTAAAGAGCAGGACCAGCAACAGAACTTTGGTCTCTTAGTCTCAGTTCCAATACTCCTGTTAGTACAGCAGCAGTACTGTAGTAATTTCATTTTTGAAAATGAATGACACAATCTAACATTATGTTCACATCACCAGTTACTGCAGTATGGGACTTTTGTTTCTCAGTGCTTTGCAAAGTCAGTTTTGGCAGTCTGGTTATTCCTACATATTCTGCCATCTTCATCTGCCACAACAAAAACAACTGCAAACAAAAGCAAAGGCTGATATCTGATACACCACAGCTCTTGACAACAGATTTGATTAATACTTTTTCAAAGGCCTAGGCCAAAAACTCCACATTTTGCGCTCCATTTTCAGGTGGTTTGAGAAGACTGAACACAAGAACATGTTAAAATTTCTCCTAAAGAAAGGCAGAATTATTTCCCATCCACTTGTCTTTTCCTTTTCATTTCAGGTGTTACATTGCCATTTTACAAACACGTTGCTCTATTCAACGGGGTGATAGCTAGTCCCCCACACACCTCAACACAGACCCACACTACCTTGTTGGGTTGATTGACATCATAATTTGTAAGAGATCCCAGAAGGTGCTGTAATCCAGGAACATTGTCATCATTGATGGCATGAATAATAGCTTTCATCACAAAAGAATCCTCCTCATCCTTGTAATTAAATGGGAAAGAAGAAAAATTGTCAGCTTCAAGGAAAAAATCCCTATCTTAACATCTGACACCTAAAAAAAACTTAAAAAGTAAAATTTTCAAAGCCTTTTAGAGTGCTTTAGCTGCAAATTGTAATCCTTTGTGAAGCATACGGCTAACATGTATGTATGTTCTTTGAAAACCCACACACTTTTTCTAGTGCAATATGCTTCCCTCTTCTTCACACACGAACCCATTACTCATTGAGAGTCCAAACTTTTCTTTTATTAGGTGTATTCTCTTTTTCCTCCTAGGACTTGCAATAGATGCAATACTTGCATGAAATGAAACTAATTCCATGCATTTATGTGAACATTAAAAAATCCGAGAAGTACACAAATACAAAATGGAGTATCAAGTTTCACACCATCCAGGAATATGACACGGAGAGTACTGTGGACTGAGCTTTCATCTATTCAAATGGTCCAGCTAAAAATCCAGAACATAACAAATAAGCTTAGATACCTCTGCAGGTGTAATTTTATTTTTCTCCCACACACTAAAAGGTCAAAGAACTGAAATTCACTGAGCTCAATATTTGGATCACTTTTAACCCCTCTTTGCTGAGGTTTCAGATTTTTTAGAACGCTAACATTAGGCTACAATCCTTTCTGCTGCAGCACAGGTGTGAAACACTGATCCAGTGTTAGAAGGCATACTGATAGCTGAGGTGGGGGAGGCAGGGAAAGGAGGGCAAGAGAACAAAGAGCATGGAAGTAAAAAGATAAGAGGAGGCAAAGTGGAAACAAGAGCGCAAAGTTGCACAGGAGGGATACAGGGAAGATAGTATGGATAAGAAGGACTTTGTAGAATTTTTGAAGTTTGATCCTATTAATGCACCGCAAAGATGAGGTTAGCCAGCTCTAAACTTATGAACATACATACTTTGCTGATCACAGGGAAATTGTGAAGCATGTATTAAAACCTGGAGAGCACGCTAAGTAAGAATGCTTTTGTAATTACAAAGCATACAGCAATCGCTCCTGACTACGTAAATCTAGTAGATGTATATAGAATCACAAACTGAATACTGGCCAACTTTAAAATTTCCTCCTTCAATAACTGCTTGTTCTGATACTGCTGTCTAACATCCATTGAATCTAAGACAGCCTCAATGATTTTGAATATTCTGTTAAAAAAATGCAACATTATTTTACTCTACAGTGCCATGAAAAATTCAGATGCAACTTTTTTCACATTGTGATTGCTACAGTAACAAAAATCCTCCTGAATCAAACTTCACAATCAACATAGATGAATTTCTGTCACTAGCTATCAGCCTCACTATGGTACTTAAGAAATTAAATTTCAAGGTTTGTGTCATGCAGAAGATCAGACTATGGCTAACTGACCTCTGTAGCCTTAAGATCCATTTCCTCCTACATGTGTGATTAATTACATGCACATTTTCAATAGTCCAATATTTCTGTTAGAATAATTTCAGAAAATGTGAAGTTTCAGGTGTAGTAAAGCATTCTAAGTACATAAGTACACACTTACCAGAGTATCATCACTCCTAGCGACACTCATGTTACTTCTGGACAAGAAAGATCTTGATAGTCTTTGGCACAAGGATATTAAACGCACTGATTGCTTTTTAAAAATAAGAAGAAAAAAGCTATATGTAAAAAAAAAATCAAAACAGAATACTTGTGATAAGATGCTATTGCAGAGATTTTAAAGGAATACTTTTGTATTAGCATAACAAACTGGAGTTTGACTCCAAGAGCCCCCATCTCCTTTTTATATTGCATTTGAACTTCTTTTTATTTTTATA